GGCAAGTCCTGTCGACATCGCAGATCTCTTTTCAACAGTTAAATAACAGTAAATTTATAAAATAATAAGATTTAAGGGAGACAGCCTTTTGTACATTTTATAGGTGGGAGAATCAGAGAAAACCCACCAAAGCACAAAGAGAACATGTAATCTCCACACAGAAAGAGCCCAGATCTGAACCAGGGATCAAACCCAGGACCTTCGTGCTGTGAGGCGCCGGTGCTAACCACTGATCCATCATGCAGATCTAATGACCCTCAGCTACTACCACCCAGATTTTACCCTGTAAAACATGTTTTCCTGTTGGAGAAACACCAACGGTCTGAGTCTGAGTCTGACAGTCATCAGATGTCGGAGCAGACCCAGTGATCAGGTTTCATGAGATATTTTYCTAACACTGCCTGTCTTRACTGTGTGCAGGAACTCTTTTCACACAAAGTTTCTTCATATTGTTTCAGATAAAAACCTCTTTTCAAACTGGAGAGCTGCAGYAACAGATTCAAACTCTGAATAAATCAAAGTCTGAATCAGAGAAATAAAAAGTGAACAAACAATAATAATAAAGTTTCATYATGCAGATGATTGTTGTTCTTAAAGCACAATGAAAAATAAAAATAAAGTAAAGAAAAAGCCAAAGCTCTTTCTGTCTGCTGCCACTTAACAAGATATTCAAATTGTTGGTAATTAATTAGAGGCTGAAGTTCAGCTGTAATTATTAAAGCACTAATTAAGAGCTTTGTTGTGTAAATCTGGTTAAATTGGAAACAAACAATCAGAACATTAGAGCAGCTCCACTGTGCAGAGTTAAATCCATGTGTTGTTCAGTCTGCTTCATTATTCAWCAAACCTTTAAATGTGACAGGATTATCTGAGTTATTTAACAGAAAATAACTGATACAAGGTTTAATTATTTATTTTAATACAGTCACACTTTATATTTGAAATATAGTTCACATATTGTTGTTTTTCAAGAGGAGCTGAAGTGAAGGAGGAAATCAGTCTGGATCAGGGTTACAGCCCCTCATCCTCCATCTTTGTGTTGGTGGTCTGAGCCTGACCCAGATCTACAGACTGGACCAGAACATCCCACAGATCTGCTGTGAAGCTGTAACTGCTCACATCTGCTGTCACTTTCTACAACTAAATTTAATGATTTATGATAAAGCACACATGATTTGCCTCGTGCTACCACCAGAGGGCGCTGCTGCTGAAGTTGTTCCATGATGAGACTGACAGTGTCTGAGAAACTAAACATATTAAAATAAACAGTTATTTTTACATCATGTGATATTTTGTATTGACTAATAAAATACACATAAAAGCTACTTTTGTATAATTTATCATTAAAACGTGTTTGATTGTGTTTGCCTCAGAGGCTGAGGAGGCCATGTGGGCCATGTTCTGGAGCCTCGGTACCAATCAGATGAGCTGCTGACAGAACCAGGAGTCGCTCTGAACTCAATCCTGTAATGACAGAGTGTYTGTTTTCTTCTTCTTTACAATCACCAGTCAAGAAAACTTTGTAAGTAAGTAAAGTTTTATTTATAAAGCGCCTTTCACAGAAATATGTAGGTGAGTGTTTTAATAAAAGTGATCTGTAGAACAAGGATGAATCAATAGAAAATGGTGTAATTTAAAATACACCAGGCTGTAGATGAAAGCATGTCGCAGGCTGCCTGCAGACACAGACTGCAGCGTCTCAGAGGTCTGTAGAGACCCACGGTGTTCAGGCCTCTGAGCTGTCAGCCTGAACAGTGGAAAAACACWTTGGAACTGACAGGAGGTTTACTGAAGCGGGCAGAAGGTCCAAATCCATGTGCAATGGAAAAGTCCCATCCAGAGCAGGTGCAGGAAAACTCCAGCCTGGTTCCTTCAGAATGATTTGTTAAATGGACAAGGCTCTCTAACAAGACTAACGAGGCCGTCAGATACATGGAAACCCTGTGCTTCAGCTAACYTTAAGAGTCAAAGAGGCTCAGGTGTCACAAGAAATGTTAGGTAGCAGCGTGTTTKTGAGTGGACACTTCAAAAAGCCTGTGTGGTCAGAGATCTATAAATGAAATGTATTAAACTGAAGCTGTTTAAGTAAKATYTATCTTTGATGTGATGAACMATGTTAACCTAAATGAAACCCCGACTGTGACTAACATGTGTGAAACATTGTATGCATGAATTAAAACACATGGTTTGAGTTTTTTTTAAAAAACTGTATAATTTAGAGTTTAGTTTAAGTGTGTAAAAAACCTAGGGTCATGACAAAGTGAAGACAAAATCATGTCATAAGTTCAGAGATCAGACAAACACTAAGGGAAACTCAGGAGAAGAGGGAAAACATTACGTCATTAAAACCAAAGCAAAAAAGTTTTGGAAAAAGGGAAAACGGGCGGCCCTCGCTGTGAGAAGACCACCTGAAGGGGGGATAAGGAGGAGATGCCGTGTTTAAATCAGGCAGTATTTCTTTGTCCAGATGAGTCAACACAGGGTCTGGACTGCCTTGACTCAGGCTTTATGRAATGTCAGCTGTTTTAAAAAAACATTTTAAAAACTTGCAGCGAAGCCACTCTCATCATTTGAAACATCATTTTTGGGTGATTTTTGCGTTGGAACTAGTAGTTCACTCTTTACCTTTTCAGAAAACAAAGTAAAATAATTATAAGTCTAAGTACTGTATTTGGTAAAAATACACAACAACTCCTCCTGCTTCTTCTCTCCTGCTCTCAGTGGGAGGAGCTCAGCTTCAGCATCACAATGACATCACAGGGAGAAGATACCACCTGTGATTCCTGAAAGTCAAACTATCAACAGAGTGAAACATCTGTAGCGTTAGGATCTCTGTTGGGTTTTCCAGGAGGAGAAACAACAGCAGGAGAGTTTGCTGTTTATATCAAAGGTTAGAGAGAATCGTGAAGCTCCCATCGTCTTCAGAGTGACATCACTTTCATGCAGCACAACCAGACGAGCTGCATTCCACAGCTGCTCCTCCTCCTCCTCCTCCTCCTCCTCCTCCTCCCTCACGATGAAGAGTTGGTGTTTGTGTTCAGTCTGATTCATTCAGCCTGAACACACTGAGTCACAACCAGCAGGAAACAGAAGAAGGTGAGTTCTGATGGACCTGACACTAATTCTCTCTTACTTCAAACACTGGCTGGTTTTATATCAGAGGATTAATTATAAAGTTTGTGTTTTTTATATTTGGTACCACTGGTTCCACCTTTTCTTAACAGAKAAAAATACTTCAAATTATATTGTTTTGATTTGTTGGCAGTGGAGGGGTTGTCATTTCCATTTTATCTGATAAAATTTACAGAGATGAACTCAAGTAAACAGAATCCAGTAAAGAAATGACTGAACAGCATGTGCCTCTGCTGAACATAGGAAGAACTGGGAGCTTTAATGACATCAGTTCTCTTATTTAAGAGGGATTTATTAGAATATTAGCTGTCRTTCTAACAAACTGGAAGTGGAAACGTTGGAGAGTTTGGAGTTTCGTGGATGAGAGTTTTGACATCTTTGTAATGGGTAAATCCAAACAAACTTCTGCTCATCTACACGGGGGTTTAAGTGACCTCGCTCTGAGTGCTCGGTGAACACCTCGATGACATCTCCAGATAAAAGCTTCTCCAGAATCCTGGAGTCCATGAACCTGAAGCTAACTAGTCTGGATGGCAGACTCACCTTGGTGGAGGTCCTCCACAAAGAGTTCCAGAGCCTGAAGGTCTCACTTGAGTTTAGTCAGAAACAGGTAGAGATGCTTGCTTCAGAAAACCATCAGCTGAAGGAAACCATGAAACAACTCACTGAAGGGATGACGCTGATGTCCGGAGATAATAAAAAAATGAAGGAATCCATTCTGGATATCCAAGCTCGGAGCATGCAGGACAACCTTGTTTTTTCTGGTATTCCTTTGAAAGMGGGGGAAGTTGTAGAGACCTGGGTTCATCATTTCATCCAGCATCAACTGAAGCTATAGTGACATAGTGGAAAACATCAAGTTCCACCAGGTTCATCGGCTTGGAGGTAAGAAACCCGACAGCAAACACCCTCGGCCAATTATAGCCTCATTTGAGCAGTGTAAACAGAAAGAMCAGGTTAAAGTCGAGGCAGGGAGCTGCGAGGAACGAGCCTCAGTGTTAACGACCAGTTTCCAACAGAAACCTTGGATAGGAGGCGCGTACTGTTCCCTGTCAGAAAAACATCAGTGAGGGCAGAGAGCTACGTTAGAGAAGCTGTACGTTAACGGTCAGCTGCTCAGAGACCCACTAATCACTCCATGGCTTTATTAAATACATCAAGGTTGGTGAAATTTTTTATTATTAATTTTATTTACCAGTTATAATTATGTGTAAAAACACAGCTCGGTTGATGGGTTACACATCTGGTGGAGCACTTTTCTGGTGGGGGGGCTTCTCCTTTCTTTTTCTTTTTTTCTTTTCATTTGTCTATCATGACATCACTTTCTTCTTTTTCTTTGTATGTTACAACAATTATTTGCACACAGACACACAAGCCCATACACACCAAATGCACCATGAGTACACATACTTCATAAGGAGACATTATATTTCATGTATCGTCACACACTGRTACTTTTTTATTTATTTAAAACAATACATTCTTTCCACTATTACTGCTTTCTAAATTTCCATTATTCAGCAATCACAGACTGATTTTACCTGYGTCTTTTTGTTTTTATGTTAACGGGTGCAGTTTAACTTTACTTTCACAAGTACYAGGATGGGCACATTAACATTTACCACGGGGAATGTGAACGGAGCCAGTGCCCAACGGAAAATATATAGAATTTTTAGTCATTTTAAAAGACCAAAGACAGATGATGTCTTATTACAAGAGATTCATAAATTAGCTTCAACTGTGGATGATCTTAAATCTCCTGAGTTCCCTAATGTATTTTCAGCCTGCTACAACTCAAGACAAAGGGGGGTAGCAATATTTATACATAAAAACATTAACTTCACAGTGCTAGACACGGTTATAGACCCATAGATACAGGTGC